GGAGGGCCTCCCGGTTAGGGTCCTGGGAGTGTGGGAAGCAGTGGGCAATTGGGGGTCGAGTACGTATAGTCTTTTTTTTTTTTTTTTTTTTTTTTGGTAGATGGACACAGTGCCTTTGTTTATTTGTATGTTTTATTTATTTATTTTTATGTGGTGCAGAAGATTAAACCCAATGCCTCACACGTGCTAGGCAAGGCTCTACCACTGAGCTACAACCCCAGCCCAAGTATGTATAGTCTTGACTGTGCTTCTAACTGTGCCTGGACCTGGGAATGGGTCACCTTCATCCCTTTTGTCAACAGACACTCTTTTTTGGGTACTGGGGATTGAATTCAGGGCACTAAACCAAAGAAGCACCATCCCCAGCCCTTTTTATTTTTTTATAGCTCAGTGGTAGAGGGTCTTGCTAAGTTGCTGAGGCTGGTCTAGAGTTTGTGATCCTCCTGCCTCAGCCTCCCAAGTCACTGGGATTACAGGTGTGTGCTACCACATACCTGGATGAGGGTCTGGGTCGGGGGGGTGGGCAAGGACAGTGACAACTAAACTGGATGAGATTTCATGCTCTTCTCATGGCTGTCCTTACAGGAAGGCATTTTTGTCCCCCATTTCCAGATGAGGACACTGAGGTTTAGAGGAGGAACCTGGCAGGAAGACTGAGAAAATGGAGAGAGTTTCTCTTAGGGAAGGAAGAGAGGAGGAGCAAGGGTTTGGGTTTATTTTCATTGAGAACATTTTTATTTTCCTAGTGCTGGGGATCAAACCCAGGGCCTTCATGCATGCCAGGCAGGTAGTGCTCTACCCACTGAGCTGCATCCTGCTCTTCATTGAAAACATTTTTGGACAATGAATTCTTTTTTATTTTTACTTCAAAACTCTTCTTCTTCTTCTTCTTCTTTTTTTTTTGCACTGGGGATTGAACCCAGGGGCACATAACCACTGAGCAGTCTCAGTCCTTTTTTTGTTAAATTGATCAGGGCTTTGAACTTGCAATTCTCCTGCCTCAGTTCTCCAAGTGGCTGGGATTACAGGTGTATACCACTGCATCCGACTTACTTTAAAATTTTTAATTAATTAATTTTGGTGCTTGAAATCCAACTTGTTCCCAAAGTGCAAAGCCCCCATGTCTCCAGTAACATCTGTATCACCCAGGAACTGGTTAGAAGTACAAATTCCTAAACTTCTCTCCAGAGGTACTATATATAAACTTGTGAGGTGGGGCCCTCTGGGTCATTAAGATATATGCTACAGTTTCAGAATGAATGCTTGAAAAAAAAAAAAAAAAAAAACCAAAATCACCAGGCTGGGGTTGTGGCTCATGATACAGTGCTTGCCTTGCATGCACGAGGCACTGGGTTCCATCCTCAGCACCACATAAATGTAAAATAAAGATATTGTGTTCACCTAAAACTTAAGAATAAATATAAAAAAAAAATCACTATCTAGTGGCTGGGCTTTAGGTCTGTGGTAGAGCAGAAGATAAGCATGTGTGAGGCCCAGGGTTTCTTAGCACCACACAAAAAACACACATCCTCTGTCTGAACAGTGCTTGCTTCCTGGTAGGTGCAATTTGGGGAATCTTTTTCTTTTTTAATATTTATTTTTTAGTTGTAGTTAGACAATACCTTTATTTTATTTATTCTTATGTGGTGCTGAGGATCGAACCCAGGGCCTCACATGTGCTAGGCTAGTGCTATGCCACTGAGCCACAACCCCAGCCCCCTGGGCGATGCTTTCATTACACTGATAAGAGCCCCTGAGTGAGGGAGACTCAGTCTAGAAGCTGATCTGGAATGGGGGGAAGACCCGAGGAGGCTGCCCTGAGGACTGAGGTTTGAATGAGCTCTGGAAAGAGTAGGCTTGGTGTTAAGAGGAAAAGTGTCCCCAGGAAAAAAAAAAAGCCTGTGTGAGGGCTCTGAGATGACAGGGGCTGAAGGTCATAAGGCTAGGCACATATGTGCTTGAGCATTTGGACTGTCCATGTACCCCATGTGTGGGCATCCTGCAAATAGACCTCCCCTATTTTGTACCTACCCAGGGAGTTGGAATGAGCTTTGCAGTGGAAGAAAGCCCCTGGCTCTGAGCACCAATCCTCCTACTCCCCTTGCCATGTGTCCTTCAGCTAGTTACTTCCTCCTTTTAAGCCTCAGTGTCCTCATCTGGGAAATGGGAACAACCATGCCTTTCTGGAAGGGCTGCCATGAGAAGGGAATGAGATCACCAGCTCTGCACAGCCAGCCGCAGGGTCCTGGAGGCCATTCCCTCCTAATCTCCGTGCAATAACAGCTGTTGTTTACTAAGCACTTACAAGCACTCTGAGCGGGTGTCGTCATTCACTCCTGTTTCGGGTAGGAAAATGGAGGCTCAGGGAGGGTAACTTCTGTCACAGTATCATTCCTTTCACCCCATGCACAATCTGACCCTTCCTCCCAGGTGCCCATTCACCAGCCAGCTGTCTCCTGTCCCTTGGCAGGGGCTTTCCACATCAGGGTGACTGTCTCTCTCTTGTTCTCCTCAGAGCCCTGACAGATACAAGCAGCCARCAAGTATCAGAATCTGGAAGGAGGCCCAGTGCTTTTCACTGGCTTGGAAGCCGCTCAGAACTCAGGCAGACCAAGGGGGCCAGGCCCCAGCTGTAGCCATGCTGCCCAGAGAGGCTGGGGAGGGCAGGCGAGATGGAGGAGCAAAGCTTGCACCAGGGAATCAGCAGCATCTGTCTCCTGACATGGGATGTCAGGAATGTGGAAGAGTCYCAGAGTGTGTGCCTGCCAGGGAGGGGGCACAGGGTAGGCAGCAGGGTCCCTCCTGGCCTCTAGGAACTACYAGGCAGCAGCTGCCCCTGTCACTCTGAGTGACCTGGTCTGGTCTCCAATGTACACACAGCCTGCTGGGAACCAAGGGTGTTGGCCCAGCTTCTTTATCGAGACCTATTCTTTTTTGTTGTTGTTCTTCACTGTTGAGGATTGCAATGAGGGCTTTGTGCGTGGACATGCTATTCGGGTGCTCTACCACTGAGTTATAACCCCAACCCCCAAGTTTTGTTTGTTTGTTTTGTTGTAATGGGGTCTCTATCCACATCCTCTTGTCCCATTCTAACCTCCCCACCCTTTCCTTCCCCAGGCAAGTCTGAGGAATGAGCTTCTCCTGCACTGTGAGGGGCTGGGTTAGTGAAGGACACAGATACTGGCCAAGAGCCTCCAAAGAGAGATTCAAAGTCTGGGAGTAGGGCTCGGTCAGAAAGTGGGGGGGGGGTCCAGGGAGCCAGTGCAGGGAGGAGCATAAACCAAGTGCTGCTTTGGGATGCTGCCCCTGGAGCCACCAGCAGGGAAATGGTAAACAAAAGGAATCCTGGAGACCTTCATTTAGGAAGAGGGATGCTCAGGGACATAAAGCCAGTGAAATACTATAGCATAACCTATGGGGACTGTCCCCAAGCGTAAGTATATCCATCCATGTTTCATCTGAAACCCAATCCCTAGAGATAGGCAGGACAGGAGCTGCCCACTATTCTGGATAAAAAAAGTGGCCATCAGATAAATAACAGTGCTGGCCTCAATACCACAAGTGGGTGCTTGAAGTGGCAGGATTTCATCATCCTGGCTCCAAGTCCAGTGTCTTTACATCCTGTTAGAAAATACAATTCCTGGAGGAAGGAAGGTGGTCAAGGTGACTTCCGGTTTTCTGGGCTGGTGTCATCTGTGAGATGGGGTACCCTGGAGGAGAAGAGTTTTCAGGGGAAGATGGGTAGTGCAGTTTGGGACATGGTGAGCCAGAGAGGGTATGGGGGAAATCCCGAACAGCAAGAAAAGCTGCTCCCTTTATGAACTGTTGCTCAGTCTTCCAGGGTAGCCCCAAATTCGGATATTCAATTCTTTAGAAACTAAGTGTTGGGCTGGGGATGTGGCTCAAGTGGTAGCGSGCTCGCCTGGCATGTGTGCGGCCCGGGTTCGATCCTCAGCACCACATACCAACAAAGATGTTGTGTCTGCCGAAAACTAAAAAATAAATAAATAAAATATAAAAAATAAAAAAAAATTATCTCTCTTAAAAAAAAAAAAGAAAGAAACTAAGTGTATTTTCAGCTACATTTCCTGAGAATCCTGGGAGCAATCCAGGCAGGCTCCATAAAGGCTGTCTTAGTTGGGCAGTATTGTCCCAGGCCTGAGCCTGCAGGAACAGGGCAGGAGAGCACCACCCACTCCATCAGGCACTGTCTCTGGCCTTCCCATAGCCCTCCTTGAGCTTCAGGGGCTGGGGAGCAACAGTAACTGTCAGAGTGAAGCCAAATAGAAGATTCTAGGCTTAGAGGTCTGGGAAGTCGATCCCTCTGAGAAAGGGGTCTGAGAGCAGGGCTATGACAGCCTTCCCTGTGAAGGACGATGCAGGCAGGGACAGCTGCAATCTAGTCGGGCAGCAACCAGCTGCTTCCCCTGAGACTGGCCAGGGTGAGGTGGGGTGGGCACAGCCCCTGCAAGCCCCAAGCCTGAGCCAGCAAAGCGTGGGAGCAGGCAGCGGCTGGAGCTTGGTTTCAGGTTTTCATGCTGTGTTAACGGTCAGCTTGGTTAATGTTGAGCAGATGAGGGAGCGGAGCAAATGGGAGGGAGCATGCCAGCTTCCTGGGGGATAGCCATGATGCATGCAGGCATATGTGTGTGTGCAGAGGATACAAGGGTCCCGCCCTATGGATGAGACAGTCAGGCTCCTTTGCTCATGAATGCTTATTCACACCATTGCATACACAAGATGGTGCTCAGAGGACACCCAAAGACAGAGGCACACCTGGGCTTAAGCAAGTGGGTGAGCTCCTGGGCTCCCGGGGCAGAAGTGGATGCAAATCCAAGCCCTGGCACAGAGCCCTCACTTCCCTTAGGCAGAACTCCCAGCTTGGGGGACCCCTCCACGCTATTCCCTGTTCATACCCTTAGGGGAGACATCAGGCACACAGAGGTTTATTTCAAAAAATAATTTATAAAAGAACATTTGCTCCTGTTTTTGGCAGGCTCTCAGTCTCTTGGGGGCACCGAAGCCAATACTTCCACCAAGATGCTGGGACAAACAGCAGGGGGTGGGGGTACTTGGGGAAATGGGGTTCAGAGGCATCTAATCTCTCAGTTGTTGCCAGGGAGGAGGGAGGTGTGACAACAGCTCTGTAGCCAGGCACAGCCAACCAAGAGACAGGAACTGAGTGCCAAGGCCCAGGAGGCTGAGCAGCATCCTGACACTTAGGCCATTAGGTAGTGGCATCATACTCTAAGGGCAAGGACAGGACCTGAGACTAGGGTTGAACTCTGGACTGGGAGACCAAGGCAGAGCAGAAAGCCTTAAATAGGAACCCCAGGACCAGATGGACTTTCCCAAAGTGGAACTAGAGATCTGGGACAGCACCCTAAAGAAGGGGACTGGGATAGCCAAAGTCAAAAGCTGTGTCTGATTGTGGCTAAGCCAGGGGCTCCTGGGCCATTGTTCATGTCTGCACTCCAGGGAAGGAGAAGGGGCTCGGCTCCAGTGGCAGGGGTTCGTGGCTGAAAACAGAGTCATTGGAGGAGCAGGTGCTGCTGGCGTCCCCACTGGAGGGGGAGTAGGGTCCAAAGGTCAGACGAAGGTCTAGGTACTGTGGGGAACAGAGCTAGTCAGTCCCATAGCCACTGGGAACACATGTCCATGTATTCATGTGGGTGAGGCCCAGAGGGGAGGGAGCAGAGGGAGATCATGAGACAGGATAGGAGCAGTACCTCCTCAGAGACGGCCAGCAGGACCTTATCCAGTGCTTCCACCAGCTGCTTGAAAGTGGGCCTCTGAGAAGGTGCTGCGTGCCAGCACTCACGCATCAGTCCATACCTGGAAGAGGTGGGGTACAGAGAGGGTCAGAGAAGCCCCACACCCCAGGGAGGGGAGAACTATGGAGCTCCTGGGGTGGATGCAGGGTAGGTGGAGCCATTCAGTGGGAGGGTACAGAATCCAGGCCCGGGGTCCCAATCAGGCTAAGGGGTCAAGGAGGGAGAGGAGGCAACAGCAGCCATAAGAGTCCATGCTGCCCTCTTGGCCAGTGTCAGGGAAGATGAGGACTGCAAAGTGGGGAAGGGCAGTGCCAGGTCTCACAGCTCTGGGGGGCAGTTTGGGGGCCGGTCCATTCGATGTCCTTCCCGTAGCAACGAGAACAATTCTTCTACAGGGATACCAGGATACGGGGAGCCTCCAAGTGTGAAGATCTCCCACAGCAGGATCCCAAATGACCACCTGGAGGAAGGACCAGGGCTCAGTGGGGCACAGCTTTCCTTGCTGTTCCTGGAAACTGGGTTGGGGGACACTGCAGGAATGACCCCCACTCAGGGTGGGAATTGGATTCTCGGCTTTATTTTTTATTATTTTTGTGCTGAGGATTGAATCCAGGGGTGCTCTACCAATGAGCTACACCCACAGTCCTTTTTATTTTTTATTTGGAGAGAGGGTCTCATAAAATAGCCAATATTGGCATCAAACTTATGATCCTTCTGCCTCAGCCTCCTGAGTTACTGGGATTATAGATATGTTTCACTGTGCCCAGTTGGAGTAGGCTTCTTTTGGAGTCTGGTCCCACTCAGTTCCCAGGTCCGATCAGAAGAAATTCTTGAGTATAGGACATCCAAGTTCTTCTGACTGACTTTGGCAAGTGCCTTATCCATTTGTGTGTATATGTGTGTGTATATAGTGCTGGGGATGGAACCCAACAACTCATGTGTACTAGAGAAGCACACTACCACTGAGCTAAATCCCCAGTCCCTTTTATTTTTTCTATTTATTTATTTTTAAAAATTTTTAGGGGCTAGGGTTGTGGCTCAGCGGTAGAGCGCTCGTCTCTCACGTGTGGGACCCTGAGCTCRATTCTCAGCATCATGTGAAAAATAAATGAGTGAAATAAAGGTATTGTGTCCAACTATAAAATAAGTATTAAAAAATTTTTAGTTGGACATAATAACTTTATTTATTTTTTTGATGTGTGGTGCTGAGGACTGAACCTAGGGTCTCTCATGTGTGAGGCAAGTGCTCTACCTCTGAGCYACAACTCCAGCCCACCTCCTTTTTTTGTTCTGGGGATTGAACTATGGGGCACTTGGCCACTGAGCCACATCCTCAGYCCCATTTTGTATTTTATTTAGAGACAGAGTCTCACTGAGCTGCTAAGCACTTTGCTGTTGCTGAGGCTGGCTTTGAACTCACGATTCTCCTGTCTCGGCCTCCCGAGCTGCTGGGATTACAGGCACCTGGCCCCCCTTTTATTTTTTGAGAGGGTCTTGTGAAGTTGCTGAGATTATAGGCATGTGCTACCAGGCCTGGAACCTTGTCTTGGTTATGGGGTAGGACAGAGATCACTGTTAGATATCTGGGACCCCCCCCCCCCCAGCTTCTAGAACTCACACATCACTCTGGTGCGTGTATACTCGGTCAAATAAGGCCTCTGGTGCCATCCACTTTACTGGCAGGCGGCCCTGGAGGGGAAAGGAGGAAAGCATGGTGTAAGTACCATGGGTCCCTATGCTTGCCACCAGGCTCAAGCCCCTCCCACCCCAGCCTTCCTTACATTGCTGGTTTTCTTATAGTAGTCAATGTGGTGCACACCACGGGCTAGCCCAAAGTCAGCAATCTTCATCACATTGTCCTCAGTTACCAGAACATTACGGGCAGCTAGGTCGCGGTGGATGCACTGGGGACAGGACAGGGGACTTAGCTTTATCAGGATGAACGGCTGGAAACTGTGCATGTGCCATCTCACAGTAAGGCTGGGGCTGGGCTTGCCCACCCAATTTATAGAGAAAGAAGTCAAAATTCAAGGAAGGGAACCTAAAGCATCCAACTCAGGGCCACACCTTCTCTCTGCATCACTGCTTCCCTCCCTCACCTGTGGGATAGGGAACAGGTGAGGGAGGAATGAATGTGGGCCTGCAGGGCAACTGTATATGAACGGGGAAGGTTGTGAAGGACTTGCAGTCATTTAGACAGGGTCATGAGAAGGAGGAAGTGGTTGGAAGTTGGGGACATTTAATGTCAGCAGCATGAGAGAGTGGAGGTGAAGTTAGAGGGGTCCAGAGCTCTGATTGTAGCTCGCACCTTCCGAGACTCCAAATACTGCATGCCTCGGGCCACCTGATAGGCGCAGGAGACCAGAGCTGGGAAGGAGAGAGGCCCCTCACTGCTCCGGGGCCCATCAGGGCTGAGGTCAGGGCCTGGGGGGCGGCGGGCCCGGAGGAACTCCCGAAGGTTTCCTTTGGCAGCACACTCCACGATCACATATAGGGGACCTGCCGAGGAAAGGCAAATGGTGAGGGGACAGAAGGGCTGCAAAGGCTATGGCTGCGTTTCCCAAATGCCCCACCCTCCTGGGCACAGACTCCGGCAGGTTGGTTTTTTCCCTGCAGAACTGGGGATGGAACCCAGGGCCTCACATGTGCTATGCAAAGTACTCTACCACTGAGCTACGTCTCCAGTCCATTTTATTTTGTATTTTGGGACAGGGTCTCACTAATTGCCCAGGCTGGTCTCGAACTTGCCTGGCCCCTGCCCCACCTTCCTGGGTGCAGACACCCAGCAGATTTATGATGTTCTTGTGTCGGCCGATCAGCTTCATCACTTCCATCTCAGAGACCAGGTCCGCCAAGTCCTTGTCGGAGGCATTGTCTGCAAGGGCAACAGTTGGGGTGAGGCAGGTACCCTGCCACTATGCAAGTGAGGCTACGGGGCTGGGAACTATGGGGCACTTGGCCACTGAGCCACATCAAGGAGCATTGGACCAGAGCTCAGGTGGGATCTGGGCCTGAATCCCCACTAGGCTGCATGGCCTTGACCAAGTCTCCCAGGTTGGGGATGTAACACATTCATTGAGCACTTGCCTAGCATGTGCAYGGCCTGGGTTCAATCCCCAGTACCACTCTGAATGTCAGGTTTGTCTTGTATGAAACAGGAGAATAGATCACACCCCACCTCTCACAGTAGTTTCGAGGATGCAACAAGATCAAGGATTTGAAAGAGGCAGGCTTTCTAGTGAGCAGACCCAGGAAATGGGAAAGAGTGGGGAAAGCGCCAAACAGGAAGGAAGCTGTGTCTGGAGGGGTTGGCACTGGTCCCTAAACAGGGTGAGAGCTCCTGGGGGTGGGAAGCAGGGTGGCGCCCTGAGGTCTGTCTGACCAGGACCTAGCGTTCATCTGGCCTGGGAATTCAGGGAACTGCTGGCAGGATGCAGCTACGGAAAGCTGAGAAGAAGGCTGTTCCAGCTTTTCTTAAGGAGGCTGAGGACCAGGGCCTGGGCCCCCAGGCTGACCTGTGGCCCTGCGACAATGATATGACACTCCTTCCAACAACATACACAACAATATCATAAGACATATTTCTCAATCTCTGCCTCCCAGAAAGTACCAGGTGGCCCCAGCTGTGCAGAGAGGAGGAGGGAGCAGCAGTGAGTGATTTGGGTCATTCTTGCAGAGGGGGTTAGGAGACAGCAGGAAAAGGCCTGAGTGGGCAAGTTCCAAGTGGGCCCTGCAAAACATCTAAGGCTCCTATTTGAGGTCCGGGACTTTTAAGCAGAGAAGCTATTCCCCTGTCCTAAAGGAGACAGACCTAGAAATAGTCTGGAGGTACTAAGGGTATTTTTAGGGGACCCATGGGAAATGAGATATGAGGTCAAGGATGACTGACACAGGTCAGAGCTCAAGGGGGATATCAAGCCCCTCTTACCCCAGTGGTAAAGATTTATGAGACCTGACTATGTTGCAGGCACTTTTCCATGAACCTAAGGAAACAATGTAACACTAGGGGGAAATGACTTGCCAGAGTCACTTGGATACCAGGATCCCAGGAGCCCCAGTGCTCACAGGCAGCACTGTGAGCTCCTTCTGTTAGTCCCAGCACCATAGTACCTCCCCCCGACAGTCTGCCACATGCACCTTTGAGCATCTTGACAGCCACAGTGCTGGTTTGGTCAGGATGGGCAGGGTCCATGCCGAAGGCTTCTGCGCGCACCACCTGCCCAAAGCAGCCCTCRCCTAGGGGCTTCCCGAGCACCAGCCTGGAGATCAAGAAAGCCCAGCCTCAGACCCTGGGCGTCACTCTGGAGCCTACACCCCCATCCTCACTCTACTCATGTACCTGTCCCGGGGGAACTCCCACAGCGGATCAAGAGGAAGGTCTAGATTCACGAGGCCAGCGAGCAAGGGAGGGCCACTGGAGGAGAGCCGGACGCCTCGCACCAGGGATGAGCTTGATTTGCCTGAGGAGCCCGATTCCAGGGAGAACTGCAAAGTGGGAGACTTGGCCCTGTTTCCTGGGGTCAGGCTGAGAGCCTTAGGAGAATGGGAATGGGGGACGGGCAATGGTACCTGTCGGCCCAAAGGGAAACGGGACAGCTTTTGCACGGTGGCAGGCTGGCGGGAGTGCTGGCTGTGGAGTGCCTGTCCACGATACAGCCCGGCCAGCAGCAGGAGCACAGCTAAAGCCAGGGAGCCTGATGCATACAGGATGATGTCTGTATACCTGGCCTCTGGCACTGTTGCTGTCCACGTGAGGTCCTCTTCTACCCTCACAGATGGACAAACACAGAGAGAAGATGACTGGTCAGTAGTCAGACTGACCAAACCCTGATCCCAACTCAGGTCCTCATGGCTGCCAATACATATAGGGATATACTGAGAAAGCTGCAGTTATATCAGGTGTAGGTATATGTGACCCAAACCCCCGAGGGCCACACAGTCATATGCAGTAAAATTAAACACACAAATCTTGGCTCTGGGTGTGGCTTAGTGGTAGAACGCTTGTACAAGGCTCTGGGGTCCATCCCCAACACTGCAAGCAAACAGAAATCCGCACACTGCATCCCAAGCCCAGATCCCACAAACCAAGACAGACTGCCCACCCAAAAGTCCAGAGCCTACTCTGGGATCACAGTGGGATTCTGCAGGAACTCCCAACTCCCTCAGGAGCTTACCTGGCAGCACCGTGAGCCAGGCTGACTGGTAGGAGAGGCCAATGGAGTTGCCTGCCAAGCAGGTGTACTCGCCTGCGTCCTCAGCTGACACATTCCGGAGGTAAAGGACCTCCACCTCTGAGCTGTTAATGTCTGCTGTCTGGGGTCAGGAGACACAATCAGGAGTCACAGCAGGCCTGGGCCCACACTGTAACTGAGAGGGCAACTGGGGACCTCACCACCCCAGGTGGTAGGAAGACAGGGTCCAGATATTGGTAGGAATTGCACCTTGAGGACTTGCACATAGGGGAAGCCGTCAGCTCCGAAGCTGCTGCCATTGATGACGATGTGCTTCAGCCACTGGATGTGGGGCTGGGCATCGCTGTACACCTTGCACAACAGCTCCACGTCACTGCCCGCCACAGCTGTGGTGTTGGCTGGGAGCCCCGCCTGCAGGATGGGCCGGTGCGGGGACCGCTCTGGGGGCCAGGCCGGGACGTCAACCCTGACCACCCTGTTTATCTTCCTCAATCACCCTGTTTATCTTCCTCAATCCTTCCCAGAGCTTAAGAGGACAACCTTCCCGAGATGCAGCTCAGACCTGGTCTATTTCCTGAAACCTTCCATGGTTTCCTTTTTCCTTTGGGTCCAGGATAACTTCTCAGCCTAACTTTGAGAACCTTCTAATCTGCCTCCCTATGCAATGCTATACCCCAGAGATAGACTTCCCCACAAGGCACTGCCTTGTTGGCACTCAGGCCCTTTTTTTTAGGGTACTGGGGACTGAAACTCAGGGGCACTCAACCACTGAGCCACATATCCCCAGCCCTATTTTGTATTTTATTTCGAGACAGGGTCTCACTGAGTTGCTTAGCACCTTGCCATTGCTGAGGCTGGCTTTGAACTCTGTGATCCTCCTGTCTCATCCTCCCAGACTGCTGGGATTATAGGCATGCACCACTGCACCCGTCTGCACTCAGGTCCTTAACTCAGCCCATGCCCTCTCCCTGAATGTCTTTCTCACGTTTCCTCTAGGCAAGTCAGGCCTGCATAATCCTTGTGCTTCTTTCTCTCTGGCCCACCAGTCACTTTGAGCTACTTGACTCATCTAAGACTGAGCCCAATTTGTCTGCTAGCCTGGGTTTCCCCAAGGACAGGACTAAACCTAAGGCAGTCAAACACCCCCTCTCAACACACACCTTCCCAGCCCAGTCACTCACCCAGCACATCCAGCAAATAGCTGTAGCGGATGCTGCCCAGAGAGTTCTCTACGAGGCAAGTGTATGTGCCACGGTCCGAGGGCACCACACTTTCCATCACCAGGCTCCAGTGCTGGTGGCGCAGCTGAGGGCAAAGGAAATACTCATATGGGACCGTTAAACAAAATCGACCCTGGAGGGCCAGGGAATGAGAAAGCTAATCCTGTCCACAGGGCTGTTCTTGAGCCACCTAGGCCCTGAGGAGGGTCAAGCCAAGGACAGGGACCCTTGGAACAAAGAGAGAGAGTCTGAAAAATATCGGAGCCCTGGATTTGAATCTTTTTGAGTTTTAGCTCTACCTTTCTCAACCTCTCCTACCCGGTGCCTGTCTTTGCCTGATGGGAGTCTCAGCTTCCTATCAGAGCACAGAACTGACTCTGGATGGTCTCATCCTGAGAATGAGATGCTAAGGCTTATTGATACCTACTGGTCAACAAGTCTTCCCACTTTACAGATGGAGTTGCTAAGGCTAAAAGGTCAAATCACTTGGCAGACAATAGCAGAGTAGGAACTTGAACCAGAACTGAGGCCTCACAATTATCTTCCCTGTGAGATTTATTTATACATGAGGGATGATGAGGGGATGAAAATGGGGGAGCAGATGGCCTTGGATGCCAGAAGACTCACTCGAATGCCTCCTATGCGATTTTCCCCATGGAAGTCCTGTCCATCCTTGAGCCAGCGGATGGTGGGCACGGGGTTGCCTGCAGCTGGACAGCGGAACTTGACTGTGTTCCCAGCAGGCACTGCATGCAGTTTCTTCTCCATGCGTTGGGGGTGTGTCCAGTAGGGTGCTGGAGGAGAAAGGAAGGGAGGTAGTAGTTTGTGCCCCTGTGATGATCACTAGCACCCACACAGTAAGGAATGGGCCACAGTGGGGACATGAATCCTTAAGGACTCATACCAACCTTGCTGATGGTAAATGTGCACATTCAAGGAGTCCCTGTGGGCCGTGGGGTCCTTGTCATCATTGCTGGAGGTCAAGGAGTCTGTATCATGGACAGAGGAAAGCTTCTGAGATCCAAGAATGGAGGTTTTAGTCCCCATATACCTTTTAACCCCTGCCAGACCCTCTTACCATCTGCAACCAAGGTGAGATTGTGCAGGACAGTCATAGAGCCACGTGCTAGGCAGAGGTAGTGGCCAGCATCCTCTGGTAGAAAGCTGGCAATCTCCAGGCGGCCCCTCCAGCCCCGTACTCGGCCAGCAGGTGCCAGGCGACTACCCTCCTTATACCAGTGGCCACCACGCTCGGCCCTCCCACAGCACAGCCTCAGAGGTTGCCCAAGTGCCACCGTCAGCTCCTGCTCTTTCTGCTCCAGGTTGGGGGCCAGGCAGGGCTCTGAAGGCAGAGGGTAAAAGCCAGTGAGCCCCACAGTGCCACCCTAGGCAGCCCCTGCATATGAAGAACACGCTGCACACATGGGACAAAAGCACCTTGGACACATGCTGGTCAAGCTGCTGCCTCTACACACACACACATACACACACACACACACACACACACACACACACATGACCACATGCTACAGATGCTATGCACAGAGTAAATGCCACATTTCTAGGGCATGTCATACACAAAGTACTTGGCACACATGCTATATATGCCACTGTACAAGACACACACACACATGGGCACATGCTATAGGTGCCATATACAGGGCACACACACATCACACTTCTGGAGCATATCACACTCGGTGCATACAGCACACATGCTACCTGTATGTTCCAAACCATACCCAAGTACACAGAAAACACACACACACACACACACAAACACACACGCACACAGCCAAGGGGCTCACCACTGGCTCTGCAGCCCAGCAAGGCCAGTCCTCTCTTGGAGACAGACAGAGATAGATGGATGCTTGCTGGGAGCCAGACTCTGAGTCTCAGTAGTTGAGCCCTGCCCTGCACCACCTTTTCAGGGCCAGGGCCAGGATCCTCTCCAGCTTTACTTAGTCAGCAGTCCCCTCCTATTGCCCACGCATCCTGCCACCCTCACCCACTTTAGAGGTCATACCCAGCTCCGTTTCCTCAGAGGCCTCTAGGTTCAAGGCTGGAGCCCTGGGTGCCCCCAGCAGGACTCCAAACAGGGCCAACAGCAGCTGCATCTCCTTTCTGCTACTCTCAGGGACCCAGGCTGGACTTTTCACCAACTGTCTYCCTAAAACAGGAGGAAAAAGAGCTGTTACTCCATCAGACTTTGTTGGCACAATTCCCTTATTTTGCAGATGAGGAAACTGAGACAGAAAATGGTTCACAGACTCATCCAAGTCCCCAGTCAGGCTTGGGGAGCTGGGCAGAGAGGGGGAAAAGTTCTGTCATTGCCAGAGTCCAAGAAGTTCTGCAGGGGGGCTGAGCTGGGCTTCCCACTCTCCTTGGGTCCTGCTGAGACCCTGGCATGAGTTCACAGAAAGAACAGTTTGGGAATTCTTTGCTTGGAGGGAAGCAGAGATGGAGACATATCTTATGCTTGCTCTCAGCATCCATTATCTATTTTTTCTTTTTTGCTGAATAAAGGAATTTATTGCTGAAAAGCCAAAGTGGGGGGAAGTAAAATATAACACAAGGGCAAACTTCAGCATGTGGATGCTATCTAATCTGACTTACTCCTAATAGCATGATTGACAGAGCCACATCCAGCTTTGGAACCCTCCAGTGGTTGGGCGCTCACAACTAACAAGGCAGCACATTTCAGGTCAAGCAGGACATTCTTGCTCATGCTGAACCAGAAATGCATTTTAGGGATACTTCTGCTTTTTGAGCCCTACAACTCTGAGGCAACATAGTTTTTTTTGTTGTTGTTGTTGTGGTGGTGGTGGTGGTGGTTGTGCTGGGGGTGGAACCCAGGGCCTCGTGAATGCTAAACAAATATTTTACCACTGAGTTACATCTCCAGTCTGGTTTTGTAAAGAAGGTAGACTTTAGGTGTCAGACAGTGCCAAGCTGTAATCCTGATTTTTACCAATTTGTAAGTCCCTGTCTTTGTCCCTCTCTGAGCCACAATCCTCACAGGACTGGTCTGAAGATAAAAGAGATAATGTATGTAGGGACCGGGCACACAGAATGTGCATGCAATGTTCTCCCCATTCCTCTCCCTAGGAATGTTCATCCATCACTGTAGGTCTGCCTCAGCCAGTCTTGACTGGTTCTGAAACTCCTCCTGTCAGGTGTGATATACACATCCACCCCATCTTGTTAAACTCTTCCAAATGCTACAGAAGATATCTCTATCTACCAAAAATAAGACTCAGAACTGAGTCTCAGCTTGATCGGGGGATGAGGTGACCAGTGTAGTTTCAGGGACCTACTTATTGGCTGCTTCCTGGGGCTGGATAACACCCAGGTGGTACTAGGGTTTCTGTAGCAGAGCATAATTCTATTTATTTATTTTTTTTACATTTTTGTGGTGCTGGAGATTGAACTGAGGAACTCAGACTTGATAGGCAAGTGCTCTACCCTGAGTGACATCACCAGCCTTTTTATTTTGAGATGGTCTCACTAAGTTGCCAAGGCTGACCTCAAACTTGAATCCTTCTGCTTTAGCCTCTGGAGGAGCTGGGACACAGATGCGTCTCACTGTTCCTGGCCTGAGCATGATTCTTAGATGCCTTCCACACTCTTCTCAACTGGGAACCTGTCCAGGAAGCCCATCACACTGGCTTCTCCTTAACCACTGCTTCTATACTTCTAGTCCATTCTGCCTTCGCAATCCCTCTCCAGTCTATCCCATGTCCCTTTCTCCCTATCCACGGCTGGTCATGGTGTTTCTAGCTTCGGGACTTCGCAAATATTCTTCCTGGGCTCTTCAGCCTTCACCCTCAAGCAGGGATTTAAACAAATACAAATCAATCAAGTCATCTCTGAAGCTTACAAGCTCTTAAAGAGCTACCTGTGTCCAGCAGATCCAGTCCACACTGTTCACTCAGCATCCTAGGCCTCCTTCTCTGTCCTTGTCCACCTTTTTGTTCCACTATCTATCCCTTCAGCCCCTTCAGGTGCTTTCAGAACTGGAGACATTTGCTGTCTTGCTTATATCTTTATGCCTCTCATTCTTCTTAGCCAACTGTCTCAGATGCCAGGAGCCCAGCCCACCCCCAAGTTCAGTTTCTCCCTCCTCTGTACACCCCGAGCCACCACACTCTGATAACCAGGMAAAGTAGTTGTCCCGGTCCCAAGCGGCGGCTCGGAGTCGGGTAGGGTTGCTCCTTGGGCTTTATTCCCACTCTCAAGACTGCTCTGACCTTACAACCTCAGAGTCCTTATCCGGGTCACSGGGGTTGCCGGCCTCTGACCCATTGCCCGGCACGTGCAGCTGGGTGACAGGACTCTGGCAGGAAGGCGGTCCTGGGTTTTCCCTCAGCCTCGAACTCGCTGGAGGCGCCTGGGTAAATGACTGCACCTCTAGGAGCGTTGGTTTCCTCATCTCTCCGCCCAGTGCGCAGACGGTCAGAGGCTCAAGGACGAGCKCGCTCTCACCCCCGCCCTCCCACACCTGGTCAGCCTCGGGGGGAGGTGCAAGTCAGCGGGTCCCCATCTGCAGCAGCTGGCCCGCCCTCTCCCCGGTGAGCAATAAGTAACCAGCTCCGCGGCCAGGGTGCTCTTTGGACGGAAAGGGACAARAGGCCCTGTGTGCCTTGCGGGTTACTGATTTACCGCCCCCTCCACCACCCACCCCCGCCGAGTGGACTCCCAGGTCCCCTGTGCTGGGAGGGGGCAGTCGCCCGAGCCCCGCCGCGGCTCGCCCCCTGGCGGCTGGGAGCGCAGCCCGGGAGCTCAGCTCACCTAGATCCTGTGTGGCTCAGTTCCCGGCACAGGGTCCCGGTTCACCTGACTCCTTCGCCTTCCCGCTCCCAGCTCGGGCCGTCCACGACCCCCGCCCCTGGCGGGGTCCGAAGACTCAGCGCGCGAGCTCCTCCGCCCCAGGCGGGAGAGCCAGGAATGTACCCGCTAGCGCGGCGTGGCCGCGGGTGCCCACCTCCTGGCCAGCCCGCCCTGAGCCCCGCCCTGCCTGGACCAGCTCTATCCTCAGAGGCGGGGTCCAGGACGGCCCAGATCCCGCCCATCTGGAGCCCCGCCCCCGAATCCTARACGGACAAGGTCACCCAATCTTGGGACCCCGCCAGCCTACCAAGCACCCCCTCAGATTCCACCTCATTTGCGCCTTTAAGGTTCCTGGCCAGGCTTCTGAGATCTAGTGCGCTACCTGCTCTATTCCCTGCTCTTCACCATTCACACCATTCAGGGAAGGAGACCTTGACCCAGCTGATTCTTCTGTGTAATCACCATCATCAATTCACTTCATTAGTTCTCTGAACAACCTTCAGAGTGATATCCAAATACAAATCGGCCTGTATTAACCCCTTGAATTTCTTAATAATTTCTCATAGCTCTTTATGTTGATTTCGACATGACTTGGTCCCTGTCCACATCTACAGCTGGAATCTTCATTCCCTTACTCTCATCCTATCTCTTGGCTTTTGCTCATGACATTTCCCTTTCCTGGAATGCCCTTTCCCCTCTTGGTCTGCTTAATTCTATCTCATTTTTAGGTCTCTGCTGATTTCTTCCCTGAAGTCCCCTGGACTTGCTAGGTCTCCTTTTCCATGCTTTTTTTTTTCTTATGAAAATAGAAAAACAGAGTGTGAAGTGGCTCCTGGTGCAGATTGCAGGGGTCCCTTCATGGTTCAAATCTTAGCACCATCACACAAGGCAGCTTACTCCATCTGTGTCCTTATTTTTTTTCCTCAGTAAAATGCATACATGATAGTACTGTGCCCAAGAGGTTGTTGCAAAAAGTAGAGTTCATATGTTAGTATGTGRKCTATGATTATTTGGAAACGATTCTTTCTTTCTTTCTTTCTTTCTTTCTTTCTTTCTTTCTTTCTTTCTTTCTTTCTTTCTTTCTTTCTTTCCTTCCTTCCTTCCTTCCTTCCCTCCCTCCCTCCCTCCCTCCCTTCCTTCCTTCCTTCCTTCCTTCCTTCCTTCCTTCCTTTTCTTTCTTTTCCACACTGGGGTTTGAACTCAGGGGCTCTCAACCACTCAGCCACATCCTCAGCCCTATTTTGTATTTTATTTAGAGACAGAGTCTCACTGAGTTGCTTAGTGCCTCACTTTTTGCTTTTTGCYGAGGCTGGCTCTGATCCTCCTGTGTCAGCCTTCAGAGCTGCTGGGATTCCAGGTGTGGGCCACTGCTCCCAGCTCATTATTTCTTCATCACACTTGCCAGAATTGTAACTGGAAGCTAATTATGTGAACAGTTGGGAAATGTTAAAGTTCCTGAAAGGCAGGAACTGTGCCGGCAGACCTCACCCTAATATCTCAAGTGCCTGACACACAGTAGGTGCCCTCCTAATAGTTTCACCCCCACCTAGCTCAGGCCTGCCTCACCTGCAAACTCTTCTCTCTTGAGCACCTAGATTAGGGTTAAGCCTCTGCCCAACTCTCACCCCTTCAACTCCTTACCTGAGTCCTCTGTTCTTCCAAAGTCTCCTTGGGAAAAAAACTCTCAGCAAGGATCAATCCCAGGCTCAGTTCCTGATTATGGCCTCTCAGGCTCTGCTCCTGGTTATGGTCTTTGGTGGGTGGAGACCCTGCCTATGAAACACCTTCCTTTCCGGTGTGTGTGTGTGTGTGTGTGTGTGTGTGTGTGTGTGTTTGCAGTGCTGGGGCTCAAACCAAGGGCCTTGCTAGACAAGTGATCTACCACTGAGCTACACCTTTAGACCCTTCTCTCTCTTTGTTATGCAGAGGTATCTCTGTACTCTCACACTTAAAAGGGTGGTGGCATTTCTTTGCATAACTAAAAGGCTGATTTAAAAACAACAACAATAACTTTTTTTCCCTTTTCTTTCCAAACAAAAGAATGGTTTCCACCTGGAGATAAATCAGAAAATCACTGGTTAACTTTTAAAAACAGTTTATCTGGCTGCCTTCCTGAACGGTCCTGCCTTGCTGGAGCTCCCAGGAAGAATGAGATTACTGGCCCTGGAAACTGCCTTCCAGAGGGGGCCTCACCAGATCTTTCGAACTGCCAGAGGGGCTCAGCTCTTCACCTCTAGCTCTTTGCTGACTCCCCTATTGAATATGATTGTTGGGGGGGGGGCAGAGTGAGCTGCCACAGAAATTGGACCCCCACAATACGGTTTTCAATTAAATGTGAGGTCATTTCCCAGTTTACCCGAATCAAAGGTGAACTAGAGACTTACATAGCTGAGATCCCCAAGTCCTCAGACTGGCAACCCTCAACTCTAAGGCCCTAGGATATGTTTTGCACATCCATTTCTGACCCAGCTCAAACACTCACAAACTCTTACACTGAATCTCAGCAGAGTCTGACCTCTCTATCAAGACCATTCATTCATTTGCTCATCCAATGAACAATTATTTATTGAAGGTTTATTTTCTGTTTTAAATCCCAGAGATAAAGCAGTGAATTGGACCCCACTTGTAGGCAGATAAACAGTTACTGAAGGGAAGGAGAGATACTGAGGGGTCAGGGAAGGGCACCAAGCTTGTCTCTTTTGATAACACACTTTTTTTTTTTTGGAACTGAGGATTTAACCTAGGGGCATTTAACTACTGAGTCACATCCCCAGCCCTTTGTTGTAATTTATTTAGAGACAGGGTCTCACTAAGTTGCTTAGGGCCTCGCTGACTTCTTAAAATTTTTTTGGGGGGGTGGTGCTAGGGATTGAACTCAGGGGCCCTCAACCACTAAGCCACATCCCCAGACCTACTTTGTATTTTATTTAGAGACAGGGTCTCACTGAGCTGCTTAGTGCTTTGAAGTTGCTGAGTCTGGCTTTGAATTTACGATCCTCCTGCCTCAGCCTCCCAAGCTGCTAGAATTACAGGTTTGTGCCACTGTGTCTGGACATTTTTTTTTTTTAAAGACAAGAGTCTCTGGGGCTGGGGATGTGGCTCAAGCGGTAACGTGCTCGCCTGGCATGCACGGGGCGCTGGGTTCAATCCCCAGCACCACATAAAATAAAATAAAGATGTTGTGTCCACCG